CGGTTTCCTCCCTCTCCGGCCACAGAGTTAGGAAGGTCACCTGTATCTTTGTACTGACTGGGTGTATTGATACGCCATCCAAAGTGTAATTAAGAACTTCACCATGCCCAAAGGGATATTCAATGTTAGCTTAATATTTTTTTTTTTAAATACACATTTATCCAGCCTGGTCTCAGATTATTCGTATGATTCTGTATGTAAATCTGGGAGAAGCCATTACAATTCATATTAAATGTTACACATTTTCAAAACGTACAATATGTTCAACATTTTCCAAACGTACAATATATTACGAATTTGCTAAACATATGATATGCCACGAATTCTAGCTAGGTGGCTAATATTAGCTAGCTGGCTAACGTTAGCTAGGCTAGGGGGTATGGTTAAGTTTATGGTTAAGTTTAGGAGTTAGGTTAAAGGGTTAAGGTTAGGGCTAGGGGAAGGGTTAGCTAAAAGGGTTAAGGTTAGGGGAAGGGTTAGCTAACATGCTAAGTAGTTGCAAAGTAGCTAAAAAGTAGTAAGTAGTTGAAATGTTGCTAATGATCTAAAATGCTAATGTTGTCCGTGATGAGATCTGAACTCACAGCCTTTGGGTTGCTAGATGTTTGCGTTATACACCCACCCGTCCCTCCCGACCACTCACCCTACTTTCGTTTTTGCCTTAGGAAACCATCTGTCTTATGTAACCATACCAAACGTAACATACACTTATTTGAGGTTCTCAGATTTACGTTTACTATGTTACGTCTAGTCTATGAGACCAGGCTCATCTACCAATAGGTGCCTTTCTTTGTGAGGCATTGGAAAACCTCCCTGGTCTTTGTGGTTGCATCTGTGTTTGAAATTCACTGCTTGACTGAAGGACCTTACAGATAATTATATGTGTAGGGTACAGTAGTCTTAACAAATATCATGTCAAACACTATTATTGCACACAATGTGAGTCCATGCAACTTATTATGTGGCTTGTTAAGCAAATGCAAATGTTTATGTGTTTAGAATTTTTTACAAATTAATAAAAAATGAAAATGTGAAATTTCTTCATTCAATAAGTTTTCATCCCCTTTGTTATGCCAAGCCTAAATATTTCTAAAAACATAATTCCACTTTGACGTTATGGGGTATTGTGTCTAGACCACTGACACAAACACACAATTTCATCGATTTTAAATTCAGGCTGTAACACAACAAAATGTGGAAAGTCAAGGGGTGTGAATACTTTCTGAAGGCACTGTAGCTTAATAAGATAGCTAACGTTGCTAATAACACTTGTAATTCCAACTTGGAGGGTTGTTCAAGGGAAACTTCCTAGTCCGAACTAGGAATTTCCAATAACATCGATAGCACGTGAACGTGGATTTATACAGTGGTATAAAACAAAACAAAAAGACCTTTGAAGATTTGTATTACAAATTTGAATAATCTAATGCTAGAAATTAAACATCAAGGCCTTTACACACTTGGACAATAAATATATAAATGAATTGCCTTTTATGGTGTTTGACAGAGTTGACATAAATCCAGTTGGGTGCATTTTATGAAAACAGGTTTTAATGAGGAGGTTGTTCCTTTGCATGGTGTGATAGCTGATACGTTGGTCTATAAAAATATATATTTCAAATGTTGTTAAGATAAATATTTGTGGAAAAAAAAAAAAATTGGGGGGGGGGGTCATTATCCTGTCTTTCAATAATCCCTGCATTAATCATTCATGGTTAAGCTTCACTCGGCAGCAGGTCAGACTTACTGTAGGTAATGAATATATTAATTTATTATTTACTTCAATGGGCATATGACTTTGCGGTGTTGTTAGCTACAGATTTTACAGTACAATGTTTGAATTTGAAGGAGCTGGGTCAGTCATTTATACTCCACAACAGTAGGTGGCAGTATGGCGTTTCTCATTTTATTTGGTTAGCAGAGTCAGGCTGCAGGAGACCCTGTCAGAGCTTTTGTCCCAAACCCATTACAGTGTTTCAGGTGCCAAGTTTATAGTCATGTATTTTATTCAGGTCCCACTGGGCCGCAAGGAAGTCAAGTCCTTGATCTGGGCAAAATGGCTCGGTCTTTGGCAAAGGGAGTGGGACGCTAGTAGTAAGGGGAGGCAATTGTATTGCGTGTACCGGTCAGTAAAGGAAGTTGTGTGGAGTAGACTACGGTTTGGGCACACATGTTTGAATGCCACGTTGTGGATGATAGGGAGACATGAAACAGGTCTGTGTGATGAGTGTTTAGTGGAGGAAAACGGTGGAGTCTGTGTTGATATTTTGTGAACTGTATGATGTAGATAGGAAGAGATTGTGTGAATAGGTTGGAGAGGCTGGACGGGGTTGGTGTTTGGGTGGTGTAGTGGGGGGAGGGAAGTGGTGGCTAGGGCTTTATTTCACTTTCTTAGAGGAACTGGACTAATGAAGAGAATTTAGGTAGGCCGTGACTGGCCTCGCACTCCAGTACAGTAGATGGCGGTGTATGCACATTAAACGTTGGATGCGACCTGCCAACCCAATCCCAAAGAAGAACAGAAGAAGCTGTGCTTCAAATAGTGATTGAGAAGTTATGCTGCTGACCACCTTTAGTTTTAAAACTAGATTATTTATCAGTTGATACATCAATGACAGTCCCTCACACAAATGTTGAATTGATGGCGTAAGTGGATGCTGAGTTCGAATCAAGCAGCGTGTCGAGCAAAGTTGGTGAAGACAAACAAATGTTCGGAATGGACAACAGTAGTAGCGAAAACTGGAACAAAAAGAAAATTGTCTAAAATTGGAGTGGAGGAAACATGTATGAATGATAATGAATCGCTTCTTGTTGGGGTGCGTTTGTTGAGTAAGGATTCATATGTGGGAAACACGTTTGAGGTGTCGAAAATTGTGAAGTATGCGCTGAGAAAAGTGGAGTCTGTCAGAGTGACCAGGAGTGGTCTTATTTTGATTCATTGTATTTCTGAAGAACAGAGGAAGATTGCAGTGAGCCTCAAAAGAATCCGGACAACATACGTTTTGTGTTTTGACTAGGTAGTAGAGTACCCTTCACTTCAAATAAGTCATCTCAGGGGTGAAGAGCAAATACCTATGCACGTGAAACTTGGTTATATAAGATACGCTGTAAGAGCTTTCGTCCCCAAACCATTTCAGTGTAAGAATTGTAAAGGATTTGGCCATGTTTCAAGTGTGTGCAGACGAACAGAGTATATTGAAGAACGGTGTGTAGAAGGATGACGATGTTGAAATTGTGGTGGGGATCATGATCCCGAGTTCCCGGAGTGCCCTGTAAGCGTGAAGGAGATTGAGGTGGCAAAAGTTAGAGCGGTCAATCGAATCTCCTATGCGGAGGCGATTAAAATAATTTAGAAAACAAGTGATTCTAGTGAAGATATGGTAGTGGACGCACCACAGCCTGTAGTACATGTTTGCTGCCAGTCAAAAGATACCCTGTGTGTTAAAAATGTTGATTTTGTGGCGTTCATTGCCACAGTTATAAACTGTACGGCACAAGTCTAAAATAAGTCTAAGAAACTGGATATTATTGTGGCTGCGGCAGAAACGTTTTTGGGACTTAAGGATTTTACAGCTGAAGAGTTTCAAGGTTGTTCTGGCGCCGGAAGATCCTCCCTCCCAGGTTCCCCTTGAGCCTGTGTAGGGATCAGATCAGTTTTATTTTTAACTGAAAAGTTGTTTGATTTAATTATTTTTCCGGTAGTTTATTTTTTGGAATTTAGTTCCATTTTTGGGAATCCTGTTCCCATCCGGCACAGTAGGTGGCGGGATGCACATTAAATGGTGCGATCCCCAATGTACCATAGAAGAACAAGAAGAAGAAGAACAAGAGGAAGAAGAAGAAGAAGTAGAAGAAGTAGAAGACGTAGAAGACGTAGTAATAGTGGTGATTGAGAAGGTATGCTGCTAACCACCCTTAGTTTTAAAAGTAGATTATTTATCAGTGGATACATCCACCACCAGTCCCTCACACAAATGTTGAATTGTGTTGTTGATGTTATGGAAAAGTAAAGCTAATCCAGTTTGTAAATCCATTTTAGGAGCTAGAGCTTGCATAGAGCGTGTTAGCATTGCTAGCTAGCTACGTTAGCTGCCTTTGTTGGTTGCTAGCTAGCTAGTTGTCTTTGCTTTGTTAGCTAGCTAGCTAACATGTTAATTCTAGCTAGCTCATGTTTTGATTGGCCATTGCATTTATTAACGTTATAGCCAGATACATTAGCTAGTTGGTTAGGTACATGTCATGCTTAATAAACCGTGTTAATGCCCATTTTGTGGTGATAAACAGACGCTTGATGAGCTGCTCTGCTCAGACCCAGCTAATATTAGCTAACTACAGTAGCTGACAAGCTGTTTTGTGATCACAGCTGCTAAACGTTAGTTGTCAGCTAGCTAGCTAAATTTATTTTGTTACGTTAAGCAGATGAACGCATAGAAAGAGAGGGGTTGCAGATTTGATTCGTTTCATAAGCTAATAGGTTTCCAGTTGTCAACAACATTGTGCTTTGACTTTGTGGTTAGGGAGTGGATCTCTCAGGATACTGTAAACGATAGGCTATGGTTTGTGTTCTAGACTTCAGCTGGTGTGTTGTGTTCATAATGGTGTGTTCTATTCATAATGGTTTGTGTTCATCAGCTGTGTTGTGTTCATAATGGTTTGTTGTGTTCATAAAGGTTAGTTATGGCCAATGGTTTGTTGTTGATCAGATGTGGCTTGTTATCTAACTTCATTGTTTTATTTTTCTCTCACCAGATTATTGTTAAATTGGTCCAAGAACTTTGGAATCAGAGTTGGAACAGATGTAGATTTTTCAGTGTGTACTACTACGTAACATTTGATCATATTGATTTCACTCACACCTTCCCCATCGCAACATGAGCAGTACAGTAAGTCCTCACCTGTGCACCCACTGCCAGTGATAACCCTCCAACACCTTCAGTTTAATTTTCAGACACTTAGCCAAGGTGTCTGGTTTTTAAGAATTCAGTGCTTTCTTGTCACAGACACAGAGGAAAAGAAGGACTGGAGCCCCCTCAAGTTCCAGACGCACGGCCAAGAGTATCAGAGTCACCGACACCAGTGTGCGACCTCGTGCTGCAGCATCAGCAGCAGCCACAGAGACCATTGATGTGCTGGAGAGCAGCAGGACTAGCAGTGAGTAGCAATGGTTTTATACCTTTCTCTTTGTCATTTTGGTTGATTATGGATATTCTAACCCGTCTATTGGCTGTGCAGGTGAGGAGGTGGTGGACTTGACATGTGAAGGTTCTGAATCGACTGTGGTTGACTTGACCAACAATGATTCTGTGGTGGTGAGTTCGGGAGCTCTCTTTATGCAAATAATTATGTATACATTTAACTGTTTTTAATGTATTTATCAGAATATGCTTTTGTCACTGTTGGAAAGACTGACATGTTGACATTTTATGTTTCTATTTTTCTCTTTTCCACCACTGTGTGATTGCGAATGGGGAAACCAGGTTGTCGATGAAGGTAATTCATTGCTTTTCCTCAACCACAACAATTATATTTAGGTTAACAGATGTTTTGGTCCTCTATAATAAAGTAAGCATTTATTACTATATCAAACATGTATTTTTCTAACTGTGAGTTTGTCTATCTGCTTGTGTCTATCTCAGGGCCTCAGGGCAGACGTGGAGCTGACAGTGAGAGTTACGTACTGAGCAGTGATGAGGAGGAGGATACTAATGGGGGCCTCAGTGCCGACCTCCTGTCCTCTCTACAGGCCAGCAGTAGAGCCAGGTACTAAGCCCGACAACCTCTCTGATCATGATAATCTCATCAGATGGCATATCAAACTTTTTTTTACTTTTTTTTAAATCAATTTTATTTGAATATTGGAGCACATAAAAGCAACATCATCCATCCGTTTATCCACTCATAATCTTGGCATGTGACCACTGAAATCAAAACCTTGAGTTAGGGTAGACCCTGATGGTCTCTTGTCCTCCATAGGTCTACTCCAGGGACAGTCAGCTGCCCAGTGTGTATGGACACCCATGCTGAGGTAAGAGAAGCATAATTCAATGTATGTGAAGGTGACTATGTCAAACTGTAATTGCTGTGTAGCTACCAGAATGTGAAGTTGTCCCCTCAACTAAGATGGAGCCCTTTTCTCTTCTGCCTCTAGATCATTGAAAGTGGGAGACTAGTAGTCTCCACAAAATGTGGTCACCTATTCTGCAGTCAGTGCCTCCGCGACTCGCTGTTGAGATCCCACACTTGTCCAACCTGTAGAAAGAAACTGACCCAAAAGCAATGTCACCCCATATACATCTGACATCAAACACCCATTTAACCCTCACAAAACCTGCAGGACTTTTAATCATACCTGTTCATACCACTGCCCCTACTGGACATTATAATAATTTTGACATAAACCTTTTTTCTTTTACATACACATTTGGCCGATGTCATGCTTTTGCCTTTCTTCTTTAATGAAAGAAGCAAGAAGAGCACAGGGACGTACTCTTGTGCCAGCACACATTCACTTACATTTTTGCTATTTTCTTCCAGCGATTCTCCTATTGCTCTTCATTCATTTCATAGTGAACAGATCATTGTGATTCAGCATCCCCAGTAACCATAACCAAGAAAAGAACAAAGCTCAGAAGCTTTTTTTTTTTTTTTTTTTAGCTCTTATGGAGTCACATGTGATGTTGTATTGGTAGCAATCACACGTGACTGGCACTCAATTGCAATGAGAACTCAACTCAAAAGTATAAATGTCTGTCGATTTATTGCTGCTGAGTAGGAGGATGTCTGAATGGTGGGTGTTGCTTGAATTTGGTCATCACCATTGTTGTAAATATTGTTGTATGTTTTGTTGTATATATGGTTGAATGATAAGTTAAGGTGAGCCTAATCTGTATAAGGTTCAATAAAAAAAAGATGATTGTAAAGTTTTGTTACCTGGTTTGCTTACCTGACTCATACAGTTTCTTCTCACAGCCAGCGTGTCTCAGTGACAGAGACTGTGAGAAGAGACAAGCCCAAATGTAGGAGAGTGCATTGTTGAGCCCTCATGCTGACTTGCTAAATAGCTTTTTTTCCATTACATGTTTTCACTGACTTAACATTTAATTTAATTTGTAACCTTTGAATTATTTTAGATTCTGTACTACAGGTAACTTGGCTGACTCCGTTGTGACACGCATCCCCTCAAATGTCCACTAAGTGGCAGTATCTTCTTGCACACGCATGGTCTGTTGTCCAATAATAATACCTAAGTGCTTTCATTCAAGTAATGATCAATGATAATGTAGTTTCCTCTCCATTCTCTCAGTGCATGGGGTGTGTTACTTGATTAACCTATTACCAAATACAGGGCTTATTTCTTGGACCCAGATTAAATGTAGTCCAGGAGTAAATTATCAATGGAGATTTTACATTGAGTGTGTTTTAGTCCATGACTAGGCTTAATCTGAGTATGAAAAACTGGCCCTTTCTCATATCTCTCATTTTCTTCAAATTACCATTTTCTCTTATGAATGTTGTTGACCAATCTCCTAATGTTGGGGCAGTGTGTAGTTATAACAACCAAACCATACCATTTTAATTACATAGTGGAAATAGAAGTTCAATTGAATATCAACTCAGGTGTTATTACTTTGGAATTACATTATAATGCATTAATTACATTTTAATTAGTATTTTACTATAATGATTTGTGATTATGAATATTATATATATTTTTTTCATTATTATGACGTAGTCCATGATGTTAATAGCAGAACTGCCCTAAGCGAAAGAGTTAATTCTTGAAATGTGTTGAGGAGCGACTAGGGCTACTCCGTGATTGGGCAAAAATTCCCGAGGTGGGACGGACCGCAGTTCCCACTCCTGCGGTCGATTCCTGGATGGCAAGGTCTGTTAGCTCAATTATTGCAGTAAATTATTTACATGTAAATGGTATTTGGGATTAAAAAAGAGACCTAACTGCTTCTCTTCCTAAATTGATAAGGCTAGGAGTTAACTGTAATGCGATCACAGGGCTTGTATTTAGTCTTGACGCACGCTCGGTCCGGTGTGTTGGGCTCGCACGAGCGTTTTGTGATGACTGTCATTAAAAAAAAACTAGCCAGATTTGAGCTGCATGTTTGACATTCACGTTTTATAGTGTTATTTTTCTTGGAGGGTATCCAGTAACTGAGCCACGGATACTTTGAGCGAAAGTGCGTGCAGTTCAACTTTTAGTGGACATTGATTTGTTAATTATTTGGATTAAATCACCTTTATTGATGAGAATGTAATCATGATAAACTTGCCATTAGTGGGGAAACCGATTCAAGACAAATCATTGCTGCTGGACATTTCAGGTAAGTCCCTAACTTGTATTATGATGAAAGTGTTATTGGCCCTGATTACAATGTGGTTATTTATAAGCAGCAGATTTAGAAGGATGCAGGTTTGTTGTAGACCTGTAATAATAAAAAATGAATAAGTAGCCAACTGGAATACTTTTTAACTTTCAATTTATACTACAGATTATTACTAATAAGATAGTACACAACTGTATTGCATAAATCAATATTATTGTGTTAATCAATTATAGTTAGGCTATATTACTTTACAAAGCTATTATTTGTAGTCCACATCTGAGTGTAGAATGTTTTAATTCCACTGATTCACCATTCATGGATCTATGTGTGTGAGAGCGGATGGAGCCTGAGTCTTTGATTTCTAGCATGTTTAATAAGCAGGTAGATTAACTGTAGCCTATACAACAGCATCTACACTATATATATATATATATATATATATATATATATATATATATATATATACACACAAAAGTATGTGGACATCCTTTCAAATGAGTGGATTTGGCTATTTCTGACAGGTGTATAAAATCGAGTGCACCGCCATGCAATCTCCATAGACAAACATTGGCAGTAGAATGGCCTTACTGACGAGCTCAGTGACTTTCAATGTGGCACTGTCATAGGATGCCGCCTTTCCAACAAGTCAGTTTGTTAAATTTGTGTTATTGTGAAATGGAAACGTCTAGGAGCAACAAAGGCTCAGCCGCGAAGTGGTAGGCCACACAAGCTGACAGAACGTGCCCGCCGAGGGCTGAAGCGCGTAGTGTGTAAAATTTGTCTGTCCTCGGTTGCAACACTCACTACCGAGTTCCAAACTGCCTCTGGAAGCAACGTCAGCACAATCACTGTTCATTGGGAGCTTTATGAAATGGGTTTCCATGGCCGAGCAGCCGCACCCAAGCCTAAGATCACCATACGCAATGCCAAACGTTGGCTGGAGTGGTGTAAAGCTCGCCTCCATTGGACTCCGGAGCAGTGGAAACACGCTCTCTGTAGTGATAAATCATGCTTTACCATCTGGCAGTCTGCTGGACGAATCTGTGTTTGTAGAACGCTACCTGCCCCAATGCGTGGATTCATGGAGGAGGAATAATGGTCTGGGGCTGTTTTTCATGGTTTGGGCTAGGCCCCTTAGTTCCAGTGAAGGGAAATCGTAACGCTACAGCATGCAATGACATTCTAGATGATTTTGTGCTTCCAACTTTGTGGCAACAGTTTGGGGAAGGCCCTTTCCTGTTTCAGCATGACAATGCCCCGTGCTCAAAGCGATGTCCATACTGAAATGGTTTGTCGAGATCGGTGTGGAAGAACTTAACTGGCCTGTACAGAGCCCTGACCTCAACTCCATCGAACACCTTTGGGATGAATTGGAACGCCGACTGCGAGCCAGGCCTAATCGCCCAACATCAGTGCCCAACCTCACTAATGCTCTTGTGGCTCAATGGAAACAAGTCCTGCAGCAATGTTCTAACATCTAGTGTAAAGCCTTCCCAGAAGAGTGGAGGCTGTTATAGCAGCAAAGGGGGGACCAACTCCATATCAATGCCCATGATTTTGGAATGAGATGTTCGACTAGCAGGTGTCCACATACTTTTGGTCATGTAGTGTATAACCCATTCTAAGACAATGAGAGGAGGAAATGTCTAGTTCCCCAATAGCAGTAAATGAAATGCATGTTATGTTGATGGATTTGATCAAAGATTAAATGCAAAACTCTAAAGGATTTTCACAATGGATTTCAAATGACTTATAATTTGTTTTGCAAACTGGCAGAAAGAATAACTCCTCTAATCAGAAACATAGGGACATATGGCCAAAATAAGAGCTGCTCATTTGAATGAAGTTCATGAATAAAAAGCCTATGTTGCTTTTCCAGAAACTCATTTTATAGTGTTGGGGACAGACGTCTTGTATTTTTCAGTCTGTTAAATGATTAACAACTTATTTTGTCACTAGTTAGGACTGTAATTCTGTTATATTTCCTCAATGCCTTGACTATGCCACTTCCAAAATAAACTGTGAGAAATAATATTGTTAGGTTGTAAAGCGTAATATACAGTAGCTTAAGATGTGATATGGATAATAACAATGTGTTCTTGCACCATTTCCTCACTGTGAATTGACTTTTCTCTTTCTTTAAGATTTCAAGTGTTGAAGCCTTCCATCCAGAAAGAATGGGACTTTTATGGATTTGCCTGCTCATTTGTGAGATAATCCTGTTGTCGGACTGTGCACGGGGTGAGTAGTAACTTAGTAGTAATGAACAATAACAACTGAAAGTGTTTTAGTGGATCTGTAGGCAACCATCTTCAAAAAGTGCCTCACCACAATGAATGATAGCTACTACAAGCTGTACACAATTGTGGTTGTGTAACTCCAAGTTGGTGGTATAGTCCATTCAGGCCAAGGGCCTACCCTATGTTTTCTAATGGAACTTGCCTAGATCACACAGACTTTGGGACAGTAAACATGGGATACCAGGTGTGCAAGTGTCAAGTGAGGCATGCAGATAGAGTGTAGTCCTGACCCTCCTGCTGCTCAACCTGAGCTGTCATACCTAGACTCAACATGCCGCTGGTCGTCTGTTCTGGCCTGCCTGCCTTCCTGCCTGTCTGGAGAAAGGAAAGGGGCATGGGGGGACCCAAACACACGGCGCCCAGGCAGATTGGATCTGAGAGCCTGAACATTGCAGCATTCACAATAACACAGTCGAGCCGTCACGGAGACGCTTAGGCAAAAGTAAACAGAGACCCATAGAGAGCAATGCGATTAGATTAGGCAATTATGTTTGTTTGCTGTGCAATGCCACAGCGTTTCCGACCGTGAATGGAGCAAGGCGGCAAGGATAGCTGTGGGCTTAAACAGTAGAAGAGACAACTTGTCTTCCTGGTGATGATATCGGAGGGGTTTACTCACTAGCTTAGCCTAGCTAGTGCCTTATTGGGTACACAGACGA